TTGTTGTTGTTGTTGTTGTTGTTGTTGTTGTTGTTGTTGTTGTTGTTGTTGTTGTTGTTGTACATCAAAATCCATTTGAACCCCCCCCATACAACATGGACAAATTCATACCATACCATTTTATTTATAGAGCACTTTAAACAGTGACAGGGCCAAAGACGGGTTCCTGGAACTGAGAGAAGCAACTGGTCCGCAGACCTCAGAGAACGAATACATGTTATAACAGTACTTCGGTAGATAGGTTTGATTCTATTATGAATGATCTCTAATCTACATGGGGTCCAAATTATACACTGAGGCTCAAATATTTTCATTCAACCTTTATTTAGACAGGTAAATCTCATTGAGCCTTGAGGACTCATTTACAAGAGAGACCTGATTTTTTAAAAAACTTTTCATTCATTCAAAATTTACATTAGAGTTGCATTTGAGCCCAAAAAAATCTGACTGGCCCCAGCCCGTAGCCCCAATCCGGAGCCCGGCCCAACCTGGATTAGGGCCGGGCCGGTGTCCGACTTTTGATTGCGTCAGAGGACGCGCGCAGCCAACGATCCAATTATATGGCAACATGGCTTGCCATATAATTACCAGCTGCATGTGGCCATTTGGCCGCACACTGACCAGCCTTGAAAAAGGTAAAAAGTTCAGTTAAGCTTCAGATGGGACTACTGCCAGTGATCCATCAGCCCAAATGGACGTTCATTCAGCTGCTGCACTCAGCGGACGTGGACGGTCGACAACCAAAACAAGTGAGCTCACAAAATATCAGACATGTCAAAGCAGGGTCCGTGTCTGAATAATGCAGAATGCAGGCAGAAGCAGGGATTTAATGCGCTTTGACAGCCATGAAAGGACAAACCCATCCTCAGCTCCAATCTCCTGCCCCTTTTACTCAGCCGCCCGCATCTGCCGACTGTTAATAGCTACTGTATATAAGCAGTCAAACCTTAATTAAAAATTTAGGGAGGGGGGGTGGTGTTTCAGGTTCGGACCTTTAATTACTGTTAATTTGTCGGGTCTGGTGGGGTTCGGAAATTATGGTTAGAACTGACAGCTCTAATTTACATACAGTCACCTCGAGTGGTGCTGAAGGTTTGAGAAGGTCTTTATGTTGACAAGGCGAGAGTCTAGCATGACTATTATGTGAAGCCAGCTTTATGTTGTCGTGAATCGAGAGGGTGCTGACCGATAAGAAGCTCCTGTGGAGGAGTCAAGGCGAGGCTTTCAAATCTGGAGGGAGTGGTGGCGCAGAGGTTAGGGAAGATGGGCCTGTGATCGGAAAGTCACAGGTTCAACTCCCCGGACTGACAACATCAAAATGTGGGTGAAAACGGTGAAACATCGTCATTTGCCCCACTCTGGGCCCATGAGCAAGGCCCTTAACCCCCATCATCTGCCCCCCCCCCCCCCCCCCCCCCCCCAAAAAAAAAAAAAAACAGGTCTCTCTTGAAAATGAGTTCTTGTGACTCTGTGAGACTACATAAATAAACGGTAAATAAAAATAAAATTTAAAAATCTATGAACACCGATACTGATAAAGTACAGTACCAATACATCAAGCATGGTGGTGGTAGCACCATGCTGTGGTACTAGTGCAATGTACAAACTGGATGGAATAATGAAAAGATATTACCTTCAAATTCTTCCACTCAAACAACAATTTAATGGTTGAAACTTGGACACGTTTTAGGTGTTCCAATAGGGCGATGATCTCAAACATATCAGAACTGGTTTCTGACGTGTTTGGGATCTGATTTTTAGGAGAATAAAAAATATTGTCTAAGTGCCAATAAAATAGATTATTTAAAATATGACCTAAATAATTGGAGTCATGTTTAATCTACCGTATTAAAGGCTTTTTGCAGATTTGGCAGGACTCTGCTGTAAAGCTGCACATGTTTACATTCTGGTAAATCCAGACTGCATGTTCAAGCAAAGTGGTGTATTTGCACTTGCATTTTCTTTTGTAGCGTTTCAACACACATAGCCATTAATATCCCTTTATTCATGTTTGTTCCCCTGCCCAGTTAGATGGAAGTTTGAATTTCTCTCTCTAAAAACTTTTAGATCAATTGAAAACCTGAAGCTTAAGAAAATTAGAATATTGTTTGTTTACTGAAACATTTCTTTCAGTTGTAACCAGAGAAAACATTTTGTTTAGGCAAATATCTTGGAAAACTTTCAGTCTTCATGCAGCCATCCGTCAGCAGACGTCAGAGTTCAGTTCAGGCCTCAGCTCAGGGTTAAACACGGGGATGGATGATTAACATCTGAGCCCACCAGCTACACGCCTCAACAAACAGCTGTTACTGAACGACTTGTTGAGGGCTGTTTTTCTTCTGTTCATTAAGTGATTCTGGGTGAGAAGGAAAGATTTCAGGAGAGTTATCCTGTGTTAAAGGCAAATGTAACAGAACTACCACAAAACATCATGTCATCTGGACAGTTTCAAGTTGGGGTACCATTGCATTAGCACTGAAGCACCTTTATTAGCCAACCATTCTTCTCGTTTTTGTTACGACTTTGTCAAGGAAAACCAATACTCCTGGTTCCCTCAAACTTTACACTTAATATATGGTTAATACATTGAAACACAGTGTAGGTATTTTTGCCAGTGTGTCGCTCACTGCTATTTATCTTCAGGTTTTGTTTTTCACCACACAAATCCCTTTAGTGTATATTTGCACATCTAAACTTTCATAGACTTCTGTTGTATCTATGCAGAATGTTCCCATCATAATTTGAAGTGAAGGTTCTTATTAGCTCAACACATCTCCATTTTAAAACCCTGCGCAAAAATTGACCAGACACTTATAGGTCAGGAAATGTTTTCAGTGCGACTTATTGTTTCCACACTTCAACTGTCTACTCAGCTTTTATGTCTGCTACTCCTATTAGGAGTGCTGTTGGGGAGTGAGAGACACAGGAGTGTGGTTACCATGGTGACAGCAATAAGTCACTGGCAGCAGATTTATTTATTGGTTTTTATTATACTTGTTATACGGTTTGTACATCAAATGTTGACATTTATTTAATCTTCTATTAGAAATGGAACTCTCAAATTATAAAGGAAGTCTTGAGTATGTGCAGTGGTTGCTTTAACGATGTTAACAATCTGACTTTTTCTAGTTCTTGGTGTTGATCTTAAAAGTAATACGTTGCCTAACGTCTTCATTTGTCACATAACTTTAGCATGTTTTCTTAAATCTCTGGCTAATATTTGTTTTCTGGTGCTTCCATGTTCCAGAAAGCCATCGCTCCAGCCAGTTGTCTTGTTTTGCTGAATGAAAACCCCGACCTGAAGTACTCCACTTCACGCTCTGTGGCCAAGCACCCCGTCGGTGAGTCTCTGCTGTCCTGACAGGTTCCTCTGATTGACAACAGCACGGGGTGGGTTCAACATTTTAAAAACCGCATTAAGGACAAGACTTCATCTGCTGATTGTTTCACTGCAGGTCTGGAGGTGGGTCCTCAGCCTCAAGGAGTTTTGAGGAGTAACATCTTTCAAGCCATGAGAGTGATACTGAAACACGCACTGGACTTCATTGAGCTGTTTAACGAAGGTGGGACTTTAAATATTAAGCCAGTAACACAATTTTGAGTTAAACTTCACTCAAGAACCGTTAAAGATGTCAAACATTATTGCAGTGGAGCTGGAACATGAGGATCAGTGAGGTCATTGTTCCTAGATAAATTGTTAAGGAAACTATCGGCCCCTTAAATATGAGCAGGACAGAGATGAGTCGTTTATAGAAAAAGTTGTGCTGAGTAACATTTAGTAATAAAAATGCCCAGTGGGGACTTCCTTGCTCATTTATTATCTAAAAACTCTATTTTCCACATCTGGCTTGCCTGTCCGCCCCTCTTTCCTCCTAAAAGCACAAAACAATTTTTTAAATATCAATCTGCGTTGTCCTACTCATTACCCAAGTGAACAGTTTGTGCTGAATACAGTCTGTTGGTTTCCCTGACTGTCCTGCTGGTGAATGACCTGCTTGTTGGGAGCTGTTGGTCACTTTCCATGTCGTTACAGTCCGACTGCCAGCGATGTGGTAATCTGTTGTGGGACCACACTGGTACTAATGAACGCCTTGGCGTGGGGATGAATCGATGTTCCTGTGCTTTTAAAGCTGAGCAACTTCATCGTGAGCTCAAAGATCCTTTCATTACTGCAGAAAAATTACCCATCATGTGGGAAAATGTGCCACATAAACAGTAGTTAAGAGTGTGGCCGTGCCACTTGTCCTCTGTTCTTCTGCATGTCACTTCATCTTACAGGTGATTTAAGAATCTGTTTATGTAACTCTGCCAAACACAGGCACACCTCCTGTGTAGTTCTGAAGCTTCACCAGAACAGCACAGAGAGTGTGAAACTTCTCAAATGTATTCATAACAAATCACCCTAAAAATAATTGGTGGCTCCTCTTGAGCAGAAAGTTTTATCCTCAAGTCCCAAGCTTTTGCCTAGTGTGTATTTTTTTAGTCCCCCTCGATACTTAGGCAGTGGTGGACAAAGCACTCAATTCTAGTACTTAAGTAAAAGTACTGATGCTCATGGTCAAATCTTACTCAACTACAAGTAAAAGTTGCTCAGTCAAAAGTTTACTCAAGTGTAAGTACTGAAGTACTTACTTTTGAAAAGTATTCAAAAGTACATGCATTTAAAAAAATACTCAAGTATTTAAAAGTACAAATTATATTTTCTAATATCAGTACATTGCTGTATTGTTTTGAATTATTTTACATAACTTCTCTGAAACCACCTGATGATGTACTGACACGTAGAACCACTCGAACACCACGGGACTTAATAAAACCTGTAAACTACAAATAATATCTTTCCTGCATTTTACACGTTTGTGGAACGTCATGGAAATCCTAACAGATGGTGCACATTTAGTCTTTTCCTCAGCTTCAGTATTCGTACACCACATTGTTTGTGCGTAAAAGTACATCTATTGACAGCAACAACTTAACAGGAAACGGTAACACTGATAACTGAAAGTACTGCCATACTTAACACAGATTATAAAACAATGAATGTTCAGCACAGATGAATCTAGTGTAATACCTGAATCAACAATGGCTGACTGCATTTAAGGAAAGAAAAACAGCAACAGCTGATTACAAAGCTGAGCCAAAAGGAACGAGTAACAAGAAGCTTCCTAGAAATGTAGTGGAGTCGAAAGTACAATATTTGTCTTTGAAATGTAGTGGAGTGAGAGTCACAAGTTCCCAAAAACACAAATACTCAAGTAAAGATACTCAGGAAATGTACTTTAGTACAATACTCAAGTAAATGTACTTTGTCACTGTCCACCACTGTACGTAGGAATAGTAGAACCTCATAAACATAAAAACAAAACCGTTGTTTTTGAACAGTTAATAGGTAAAAATATAAATATGAATTTTATTTAAAATTAAAAACACAACTTAAACTCTAATCCCCCGAAATATGTCGACCGGTGTAAAACCAGTGTCCTCAACATTAGGATGCATATTGTCAGGCGGTTCCATAAATAATATGTTTACAAATGCAGTTTTAGAAGAAGACAAGCTACAATAGGCTGAGTAGTGGAAGTGCTTTTCTCAATATGGTATAATGGCAGCATGGTGGCTTGTGCTTAGCATTGTTGCCTCACAGCAAGAAGGTCCAGGATTCAAGCCCCGGCTTGGACCTGGGGTCTTTCTGTGTGCAGTTCGAATGTTCTCCTCGTGTTAGCATAGGTTTTCTCGAGGTAAACATGCATGTTGTGCTGCCCACAGACTCAGGCCTCTCGAAAGAGATTTTTGATCTCAGTGGGATTTGACTGGTTAAACAAAGGTTAATAATAAAATAATAAAAATATCACTCTGTTGGAGAAAATCTCTCTCACTAATGTTGTTTACCCCAAAGAACCACACTCTCAACAGCAGAAGATTTTTAACAAGTATTTTATACTTGCAAGTTCTGAATTCAGGACAGGCTACTGAATATATATAAAATGTACACACAATGAAGACCAGCTGCAGAAATGAGCCACGAGCCACGTTATCTGCTCGCTTTTATACTCCTCTCAGCTTAGCCGAGTTCAGAGTTCAGGAGGTGTCCTTGAAGACTGCAGCCTTCTTACCCAGTGCTCTCTGTTAACACAAACATATGGTTCATGGGCAGAGATAAGACAGTGTCTTGGGAGATGGTTTCAGCTTGTTTGGAGCTTCTTGTTCTCAGGGCAGAGGGGAAAAATGTTCTCAGCATAATCATTTATTAATGTTCCTATTGAGTTGATCTACAAATGGCGTTCTTATTGAGTTTGTTGATTCTTACAAATACTTGGGTATCTTGGTCAATGCACATCTCTCTTTTAAGCCGCATGTCGAAAACTTGATAAAAAAAATTTGAAAGTAAAATTGGTTTTCTTTAACAGAAATAGATCCTGTCTAACTCTGAACACTAGGAAATGCCTTGTAGCTGTGACTTTCCTTCTCTTCATTGACTACGGTGACATTATTTACATGAACGCTCCTACAAGCACTCTGCAGATGTTGGATGCTGTCTATCATGGTGCACTAAGATTCATAACTGGCTGTAACTACTGTACCCATCATTGTATCCTGTATTCACTGGTTAACTGGTCATCATTAACTTCACACAGACTCTCTCACTGGTACATTTTCATCTTTAAATCACTTCTTGATCTGCTGCTGCCTTCATACATCTCCTCCCACATGTCTCTGCGTGAGTGCAGTTTCTTGTGTGCGCCTTCAGGACATTATTACCTGCAGTGTTCCCTCAGTGAGGTCTGAACTAGGCAAAAGGGCCTTCTCCTACTCCACTCCTGTTTCCTGGAATATCTTGAAAAAAGATCTGAAGCTCTTGACCTTGACCTCTCTAAGGGATTTTAAACATCTGTTAAATCATGGCAAAACCCAACGCAGACAGGTTCCTGTTTTTAGTATTTTATACCATTTCATAATGTATCTTGATTTTATTGTTTTTATATCACTACTTTTATTTACTTTTCATTTTATATGCTTTTTATGACTGTTTATTGTTGTCTATACCTCATCTGTTTTTTTTGTTTTTGTTTGTTTGTTTAATCAGGTCTTTTTTTGAAAATGAGTCCTCATGACTCAATGAGACTAACATGTATAAATAAAGGTTGAATGAATGAAAAAAAAAAACATGCATAATCTTTGACCAAACTGGCATAAATGTAAAGAAACACAAAGTGAAGTAGACTGTTATATATAAGAAGTTGATTTCTGAACTCCTGCTTTGCTGTACTGTTAAATTTGTCAAATCTCCAAAAATTCTGTTCTGGGATTTAGTTATGATGCGTCATCCCAGGATTTTCAGTATTTCACTATGGCCACCGCATTAAACATTTTTCTTTTTGGCACCACTGTTGAGAAAGAAAACGATCTTGCAACTGTTTTGGTTCTTAAGTTTTTGATCATTAATTTGGGCTAACGTGTAATGGTGAGAAGATTGTTCAGTGTCAGCTCAGATAAACAAGAAAAGTCAATGATTCTCCCGACTGTGTGTAGAGCTGTGGGCGACCTTTCAATGAAGAAAAGCACAGACTCACTCTGGAGCACAAATTAACAAACAGATTTGTAGACTGGCAATCCAACTGCATTATTTGCTATGGTCAAGGCAGACACTGTTCTTTACTCAACACATTTACTCAACAGTCTATTATGACAATAGTCAGATTAAAAGTTCCACTTTTTGTTAACAGTAGCAGAGAATCATTCATTGGCAGAATTTTTTTTACCCTGAGTAGTGTGCAATTAACACTGTATTATTGGCCCTGTATGGACTTGCCACTACCTTATCAGTCTCACCAGAGTTAATTCAATTCAGTTCAGTTTATTTGTATAGTGCCACGTCACAACAGAAGTCATCTCAGTCTAACTTCATCACAGAACTCTCATCTTGAGCAAGCATGAAGGTGACAGTGGAAAGGAAAAACTCCCTCATGAGGAAGAAACCTTCAGCAGAACCAGACTCGGGACAAGCGACCATCTGCTTCGACCGGCTGGGTTTGAGAGGACAGGAAGGAGGAACATATACACAATGGCAGGTCAAGAATCACATGTTAAGATAGAAATAGTAAGAAAACGATTCAATTTTAACAATTCATTTAAGGAAATTATGTCAATTTGTCCTCCAGTAGGCTGAGCTTAAGGCAGCATAACAAGCCAACCCTAACTATAGGATTTATCAAAAAGGAAACTCTTAAGTCCAGTCTTACAACTGGACAATGTGTCAGCCTCATGGACAGAAACTGGAAGTTGGTTCCACAAGAGAGGAGCCTGATAACTGAAAGATCTTCCTCCCATTCTGCTTTTGGAAACTCTAGGAACTTCAAGTAAACCTGCAGTCTGAGAGCGAAGTGCTCTGTTAGAAAAAAATGGAACAATAAGATCTGTAATGTAAGATGGAGCTAGGTTGTTGAGAGCTTTGTAGGTTAGAAGAAAGATTTTGAATTCTATTCTGAATTTGACAGGGAGCCAGTAGAGAGAAGCTAAAACTGGAGAGATACGATCTCTCCCACTAACTCCAGTTAAGACTCTGGCAGCAGCATTTTGGATCATCTGAAGATGTTTTAAAGAAGAATTTGGACACACAGATAACAAACCATTGCAATAGTCCAGTCTAGACGTGACAAATGCATGAACCAGTTTTTCTGCATAATTTTTAAATGATGTTTCTAATTTTAGTGATATTACGCAGGTGGAAGAAGGCGGTTCTAGTAACGTTTTTAATGTGGGGGATAAAAGACATGTCCTGATCAAAAATATCACCAAGATTTTTAACATTAGAACTGGAGTTATTATTTTAGTAATTTAAATAAAGTTAAATATCTGATCTTTTGAAACTTCTGAATGGGTCAGTATCTGTTATTGTTCCTGTACAATTCTGGATGCATCTGCTCTGTTTTTTGTTGTTGTTTAGGCATAGCGTTTCCTTCCTGCACAGTGGAAGTCTTTCGAGTTTTGGAGAGGATCGACTACCCCAGAGACGCCAACGGAAACATCATCGCCATGGTTCACCCCAACCTGCAGGTAAATATGTGAAGGCTGCAGTAGCACTTTCTTAGCCTCAGCATGTGTAGTGGAGGACTCTTTAAGTCCAAGTTATTTTGAAATAGGGGATTGGTGTTTTGTTTTTGTTCTATCCTGTGCAACATTATTCCAGTTACCCTCCCTGCAGTCATTGCTTGTTGTTTTAGGACTGTGACTGGGAGCCCCTGAACCCTGGCGACCCAATGTTCCAAACATTTGACGGACAGACCATCCACTACCAGGGCTCCGGCACCGTTTATCCCACTTTTATTAATGAGGCAGCCTATTATGAGAAACAACAGGCATTTCTAACCACCGGGCGAGAAACCCTGGTGGCAAACGCCATCAGGAAATCATGAACTGTGCTCCACAAGGCGCCTGTGAATATTCTGTTATTGACAGCAGAAATCTGTGTGTAGATTTTGCACTTTGCTCAGTCAAACAAATGATAAACTCTCTGGACATAACAACTAAATATCACATTTTTTAATCTCCGATTTAGTTTTCTATGTGTTTTCCTCATAAAATCAATTAACTATGCAAAAAACATTTATGGAGGCTTTTGAAAAGAGTCAGTCTATTATCAGAAGGCTTTTTAAATATTGTGCTAAGTATTGATGATACTGTTATGTAAAAAACATTTATTTACATTAAATAAACTGAACTTTTATAGTATGAAAGGACAGGTCTGATTATCGATGGCTTCAGAATCATTCCAAACACACTCCTTCAAGTTTCCTACTTCTGCTCAGGAAGGCTGTAGATCCTAACCTGCAACCTTTGACTCCAAACTGTTGTTGTGACATCTTCTGGGGTGTGTTGTGTGGCCTTTGATACTACCTACCTACAACTCCTGTGGTGCTGTCCTGTTGTTGCCTTATTAAGGGTTCCAGAAAGAAAATGCTTGCCATAATGAATGATTATGTGTTGAACAAAGAGATGTTATTTTATTGAGATCTAGTTAGTACATGTCCTTTTATTCTCCTCATCCGCACAAAATCAATAGTGCAAGACTTGTTTTGTAATAACATATCCATCTATTTTGATATGTTTGTATGTCTAAGTTTAGATGTCGCAAAGAACTTGTTAAATCATGATAAAACGTCTGTAAATTCTAATGTTTTGTCTCGTTTCAAAGTATATTGCCGTTGTCTTATAAATAAGTCCTTTTCCTGTCAGCAATATTTATGTGGGCACCATTTAAAGGAACAGAAAAGTACTGTGGAAATAAATCATTTAATAAATATATATTGCTCTGGATGAAGTGCGTTCCTCTGCTCACTTTCTCATACAGACGAGCCACATACATCCACCAGAGGACGCCACAAACACCACAAATAAAGTCTTTTCTGCCAAACAGCAAAAAGATGTGATGATTTAATGCAGAAGACGATTAAACATAGATGTTTTTTTTGGTCATTTGTATGTAAAAAAAAAAAATGATGTGGTGCATGCAACCTTGCATCCAACACATCCTATAACTCTTTCTGTAGCTTTCAGACACATTTTTTTATTTATTTAAGATTTGAAGCTGCTGTTGTAAAATGATGCTTTTAGTCATTATGAAATGTGGTTCTGTATAAAAATAATGCACAGTTATTATTTTACCTGCTGTAGATTTTGTTTTGTTTGGGGAAATGTGGTGATAAAAAGAAACTAACTGAAGTCAAACTGGACTGACAAGCTAGTCTGAATGCATCCGAGACCAAAGTGGATTGTTGACGTCTTAAAACAGCTCCAATCTCAAATGTTTCCTAGTGTTTTATATCATTTGCAGTACACCTTTACATCAGGATTAATTTTGCATCAGAAAACTCACTTTGAAAGTGTCCCCCACATGGACTAGACTTTTTTTGTTGTCTGTTTTAAACACATTTTTTTATTTTTGTTTATTGATTTTATAGGTTTTTTGTGCTTTCCTGTATTGTGTTAGTGTACAGCACTATGGCCCATGGTGTTGTTTATAAAATGCTTTATAAATAAAGTTGTATTCTATTGCATTAGTCAGAAATATTGATATTCCTGCCAGAAATGTCCCTGCAGGAAATAATAGCTGGTAAACAAAATGCACAGAAAATCATGTAAATAATTGAGTAAGGCAAAATTAATGCTCTCCTCCCTGGGCTGCCACCTTACAGTAGTGGAGGGGTTTGAGTGTCCCAATAATCCTAGGAGCTATGCTGTCAGGGGCTTCGTGTCCCTAGTAGGGTCACCCAAGGCAGACGGGTCCTAGGTGAGGGACCAGACAAAGGGCAACCCAAAGACCCCTATGAAGATTAAAATTAATGGAACCAATGTTCCCTTGCCTGGACGTGGGTCACCGGGGGCCCACTCTGGAGCCGGACCTGGAGGTGTGGCACGCCAGCGAGCGTCTGGTGGCCGGGCTTTTACCCATGGAGCCCGGCCGTGCACAGCCCGAAGAGGAGACGTGGATCCCCCTTCCCATAGGCTCACCACCTGTGGGAGCAGCCAAAAGGGTCGGGTGCAATGTGGGATGGGTGGTGGCCGAGGGCAGGGATCTTGGCGGTCTGATCCTCTGCTACAGAAGCTGGCTATTGGGACGTGGAATGTCACCTCTCTGGTGGGGAAGGAGCCTGAGCTGGTGTGTGAGGTTGAGAGGTTCCGGCTAGAAATAGTTGGACTCACCTTGATGCATGGCTCTGGCTCTGGAACCAGTTTCCTTGAGAGGGGTTGGACACTCTTCCACTCTTGAGTTGCCCCTGGTGAGAGGCACAGAGCAGGAGTGGGCATACTTGTTGCCCCCAATCTTGGTGCCTGTACGTCTGGCAGAATCTCCTGTGAGACAGAGGTTTAACTCCCACATCTGGGAGAGCTTCAAACACATTCCGGGGAGGTGGGGGACATGGAGTCTGAGTGAGTCATGTTCCATGCTTCTGTTGTCGAGGCGGCTTATCGGAGCTATGGCTGTAAGGTTGTCAGTGGCTGTCGCGGCGGTAACCCTTGAACCCGGTGGTGGACACCAGCGGTGAGGGATGCTGTCAGGCTGAAGGAGTCCTATCGGGCTTTTTTGTCCTGTGGGACCCTGGAAGCAGCTGATGGGTACCGGCAGTCCAAGCGGCATGCAGCTCAGGTGGTCGCTGAGGCAAAAACTCGAGCGTGGGAGGAGTTCAGAGAGGCCATTGAGAATTACTTCCGTACGGCTTCTAGGCGATTCTGGTCCACCATCCGGTGTCTCAGGGGGAAAGCGGTACACTACCAGTGCTATGTATTTATAGTGGAGGTTAGGGGTTGAACGAGTATATAATTTTTAATCTCGACATTAACATAATAAAACCCAAGTAGAACTCGAGTATTTGATGACGTCATAGATCTCAAGATACAAAAATAAATAAATAAATAAAACCGCAAAAAAAGGGTAATTATTTAAAAAAAAAAAAAAAAACATTGGGAGTGTATATTATGCTCCTACCATTTATCATACTGCAAATAAGTCACAGGAAAAACTAAACTATTAGTTATTATTATTAAACTGCAAACGTGAAGAAACATGCAGCACGTCAAAAACGAAAACACATTGGGGGTCCCACCCCACACCACCGCCAGCTGTGGTGCGCATTAAGTTTAGTTTTAGAGATTAATATGTTTATAGATTTTTTTAATAGGTTTAGAGATTAATACTTTTTGCTTTTTGTTTGTGAAACAAGGTCAGAGGAAGCTGGTTCTGGTTCGGTGGATTGGACCCGGTGTTACACCATACTCTGTGACCTGCAACAGTGCAGCACCGCCCCCTACGGTCATACGGTGGTCACATAATATGACGTCACTACGGATACTCGACATTACATTTTTAACCTCGATAGATGTCATAGCAATCGATGTGTAGATTACTCAAGTACTCTGTTAATGCCCTAGTGGAGGTGGTGTGCTGCTGACCTCAACTCGGGATGTCGTGGGTCGGTGGGCAGAGTACTTCGAAGACCTCCTCAATCCCACCGGCACGTCTTCCATTGAGGAAGTGGAGCCTGAGGACTTTGGGTTGGCCCTCCAATCTCTGGTGCTGAGGTCACCAAAGTGGTTAAAAAGCTCCTTGGTGGCAGGGCCCCAGGGATGGATGAGATTCGCCCAGAGTTCCTTAAGACTCTGGATGTTGTAGGGTTGTGTTGGCTTACGCGACTCTGCAATATTGCATGGACATTGGAGCAGTTCCCCTGGATTGGCAGACTCGGGTGGTGGTCCCCCTATTCAAAAAGAGGGACCGTAGAGCGTGTTCCAACTACAGGGGGATCACAGTCTTAAGCCTCCCTGGTAAGATCTATTCAGGGGTTCTGGAGAGGAGGGTCTGTCGGATAGTCAAACTTGGGATTCAGGAGGAATAGTGCGGTTTTTGCCCTAGTCGTGGAACACTGGACCAGCTCTACACTCTCAACAGGGTCCTGGAGGGTGCGTGGGAGTTTGTCCAACCAGTCTACATGTGCTTTGTGGACTTGGAGAAGGCGTTTGACCGCGTCCCTCGGGGAACCCTGTTGGAGGTACTCTGGGAGTATGAGGTATCAGGCCCTTTGATACGGGCTGTTAGGTCCCTGAGTTCTAGAATTGCTAGAATTTTATAGAACTGGATCTGACAGCAAGCTGGATCTGGGTGGATGGATCGGTATCTGTGGCCAGATTTTTCGGCTTCACTGCAGAAGGTCCTTCCTGCCCAAAGCTATCAGCATCTAAAACAACTCTTGAATGAAACCGGGATGATGAGCTACCACACAACACTTAATTTCCCTCTGGGATTAATAAAGTATTTTTGAATTGGAATTGAATTTGAATTTGTATGATCGGTGTCAGAGCTTGGTCCACATTGCCGGCAGTAAGTCAGGCTTGTTCCCGGTGAGAGATGGACTCCGCCAAGGTTGCCCTTTGTCACCGATTCTGTTCATAACTTTTATGGACAGAATTTCTAGGTGCAGCCAAGGTGTTGAGGGGATCTGTTTTGGTGACCTTAGGATCGAGTCTCTGTTTTTGTGAATGATGTGGTCCTATTGGCTTCATCAGGTCGTGATCTACAGCTTTCACTGGAGCGGTTTGCAGCTAAGTGTGACGCGGCCAAAATGAGGATCAGTTCCTCTAAATCCAAGGCCATGGTCTTGAGCCGGAAATGGGTAGAGTGCCCTCTCCGGATTGGGGAGGAGGTCCTGCCCCAAGTGGAGGAGTTTAAGTATTTTGGGGTCTTGTTCACAAATGAGGGAAAAATGGAGCGAGAGATCGATAGGCGGATAGGTGCCATGTCTGCAGTGAAGCGGATGCTGTACCGGTCCATTGTGGTCAAGAGAGCTGAGTCAAAAGGCAAAGCTCTCAATTTACCGGTCGATCTACGTTCCTACCCTCATCTATGGTCATGAGCTTTGGGTTGTGACCGAAAGAACGAGATCACGGATACAAGCGGCCAAA